CAGTACGTGGGCTGGACTGGGGAAAGAAATCTGGTACATTTTTCTACTCAGTCAACAGTGAAAAATACAGCGCGTAAGGCTGACGAGAGGATTTCCTTTTCTGTGTATTTTAGGCAAAACGGCAGCTCGAGTGGGGCAGAGGGACGCTGCTGTCATCTCAAGGACTGCGCAGGGCTGGGGGGTCGCCTCGTCGGCTCTGCTGCCGGAGCGGAGCGAGCAGTCGGCATGGCAGGGGAGGGGAGGGCTCCCTCCAGCAGCGGCCTCGGCCTGACTTGGGCACCACCAGGTCCTCCAGGAAGCCGAGCTCAGGGGGCTATCGCGTGGGGAGATCCGACGCTCCTGGGAGCCACGGGCGAGCTCCGGCGTGACTGCCGCTCCAAGCTAGTGCTGTTTGTGCAGCTCAGGCTGAGCCCGGCAGGCTGCTGGCACTCGGGGCAGCTGCTAGCAAAGGGTGGGCAGAGAAGCCTGTCTCCCCGCTGGCCGGACCCTGCGCCCGGGCTCCACACCCTGCTGGAGACCAGGCCGCTCCCCCTTCCTCAGAGTGGCTTAAATTTTTACCAAACACTTGTATTACAAGAAAACAGGCAGCCCTTTCCTCCTGGTTCTGGGTCCCCATGTGTTGGGTGTGTTCGTGGCTGTGTGGAGTCAGGCCAGGAAGTGGTGGTGACCCGCACGCAGTCACCCTGCAGCCACTCGGTGTGTCCTGGTAGACAGGAAGGGACCGTGTAGCGCCTGGACCGCGGTTCCTGAGCGTGGCCTGTCCTTACCGGGCGGGGTCTCCCCTGGCCCGGCGGGGCCCTGTGCAGCGGCCACCGCCCTCCGCAGCTGCAATGGGTGGGTGGGATGTGAGCCCGCTGTCCCCAGGGCTGTGACACGGGCGTGTCTCTAGGTAACAGTCCTGAAGCCCGAGTGAGCAGGTGTGAACAGCACGGGTGGGGAGGCTTGCTGGAACAACACAGAGCCTAGCCCCAGCCACTGCGTCTGGGACACCTGGCCTTTCTGACAAGTGCCAACCAGAAAACTGCCTTTCCTGGTGGCAGCCGCTCTGGGGCTTTCGGACCCGGAGAGCTGACGGCGCTCTCACCTCGTTATGGTGAGAACTGTGGGCTGACCCCCTTTATAAGACTGACCACCTTCACGACGCCTCAGAGCGGCACGTGCAGAAGGACCAAGCAGGACGCTGCGGCGCTCGGGGCTCGGAGCACCTAGGTTCATCTCGGTCTTGTAAGCGGGATTAGTATGTGAGCTCTGGCGACAGGACGGAGCTGCCTTGAGGGCTGTGCTGTGTCTACGTGCTTCAGGGCCCAGGGCTTTTAGTTTCTTACATGAAAAACTGAACTGCCCCAGAAACTGTGGCCCTTCTGCGCCTGCGGCCTCCCAAAGTCCCCCTTCAGGTCTCTCGTGGAGTTAAAGTCCCCGTTTAGTTTGGGTCAGTGCTTTTTCCCAAGCTGCCGAGGCTGGGATTCAAACCACAGCCATGCGGGGCCGGCCCTCAGACACAATCTCAGCTGAGTAAAGGTTCTCAGGGGTATCAGCACCGGGATGCTATACATACGGAGGGGGCTTGCAGGCTTATCCGCTCATGGATCCACCTCGAGGAGTCTGGGTGTAATAGCTACAAGAGAAGGAGGAGAAAGGAATCAGATGATGGCCGCAGAAACCTACATCCCAGGCCACCCTCGTTAGGAGCAACATGAAGAACTACTAATCTGCGCCCACACGGCGGTTCGAGTCCCAGACCCGGAGGCTTGAAACTCATACTGGGCGCGTGTGCATACATGCCAAAATTCCTGAGAGGAGAGTGGAGGAGAAGGGACTGCAGCACGGCCATCCCTCGGCGGGCCATTTCTCACGTTCTATCTCTCTGTCTCTCCAGTGAGCACATGTGCCCGATAGCAAAAAATCTCTCTTAAAGAAAGCGTTACTAATCTATGTCACTGGCAGAGATGCCAGAGAGATGCCTGAAGGGCTCATTCACGTCTTAAGAATTCCTGTCCATTTAAAACATGCTACACTGAATCGTGCGCATCTTCACAGCATACGGCTTCGCAAAGCACGCAGGCAGTGCATGTCAATCAAGTCAAAGACACTACCGTGCACAGAGTTTTCAGCAGGTAACCTCACATTCTCGCCTGCTCAATGCGTTTCTCCAGAGGCCCCCCCCACCCCTACTGTCTACCCTCTCCTACGAAGTCCCTGTGTCTGCACTCGCTGTCTGCCGTAGTGTAGACAGTCCCCTTGGCTTATTGGGGATTATTGCCTGTGCTTTAGGGTATTTAAGAGTCCAATGTCTTCAAGAGTCTTCTCTGTGTTTTCCACCAGTAGTTTCATAGTGTGAGGCTTTACATTTAGCTCTTTGAGCCATTCTGAGGTGATGTTTGGTTAACGGTGAGAGAAGGGGTCCGGTTTTATTTCTCTGCACACAGACATCCAGTTCTTCCAGTCCCATTTGCCGAAGACACTTTCTTTTCCCCACAGGACTGTCTGTGCCCTTTGTCAGAAATCAGTAGGCTGGGGACCAGCAGTTAGCATAATGGCTATGTCGCTGGACTCCCACGTAGTCGACCGCGGTTCACGTCCCAGACTCACGCCGGGCGTGTGTGCGTGTGCTCCCAAGATCCCGAGAGGGGAATGGAGGAGAAGGGATTGCAGTGTGGCCATCCCCCCTGGGGGGTGATTTCTCGCTTTCTGTCTCTCTGTCTGTCTCTGTCTGTCTGGCAAGCGCACGTGCCCTATAGCAAAAACCTCTCCAAAAAAAGAGAAAGAAATCCGTAGGCTGCATGTGTTGGGGTTTATTTCTGGCCCTCTGTTCTGCTCCATTGGTCTGCGTGTCTGTTTTTGTGCCAGTACCGTGCTGTTTTGATTAGCACAGCTTTGTAAGGTTTTAGGAGGTTGGGTAGAAAATGAGAAAACGCCTCCTTTAATTACTCCGGCGATAGATTTTATTTATTTATTTATTTTTCTGTTTCTGTGAAGAATGCCTCCAGCACTTTGACTGGAATCACGCTGAATTTGTAAATTAATTTGGGTACAATTGATTTTGACTATACTCATTCTTCCAAACCAGGAACAAGGGATATCTTTTCACGTTTGCATGTCATGCTCAATTCTTTTCCTCCTGTTTTTCATAGTTCTCATCGTAGAGGTCTTTCATTCCATTTTTTCCTTTTATTTTGGTGGCTATTGTAATGGGCTTGCTTTCTTCAATTCTACTTTAGTCTTCTCATTATTAGTGCATAAAAATGCTATGGTTTTGTATATTTTGTATCCTGCCTGTATTTTACCAAATTCATTTGTCATTTCTAGGAGGTTTTTTTTTTTTTTTGGTGGATTCTTTTGGATTTTCTATTCTATAATCATGTCGTCTGCGAACAGGGACATTTTCACTTCTTCTCCTGTTGGAATGTTTATTTCTGTCCTGACTGCGCTGGCTCGGACTTCCGTACCACGTTGAGGAGGAGTGGGGAAAGGGACAGCCCCATCCTGTGCCACTGTTTGGTGGGAACGCGCTCAGCCTTCCCCACTGACCACGTAACTCTGGGCTTTACTGTGCGGAGAGAAGTGGTTCTTCTGTAACGGCTGTGCTGGGGTCAGTCAGGGCAGGGTGTCGCGTTCTGTCAAATGCTTTTTCCGAATCCATTGATGTGATCATGCGGTTTTCATCTTTCCTTCTGTTAATGTGATGTATCATGTATTCTTTTGCAGATGCAGGGCCACGCTTACACCCGGGATAAAGCCTACCTTTCATGGTGCGTAATCAATCGAGTGTGTTCATGATTCAATCTGCTCATACCTTGTTGATTTCTGCATCTGTCCTCAAGAATGTCGGTCTGTACTTTTCTTTTTTGTCACGCTTTGACTGCTTTTGGGATCAAGGTGACGGACGAGTCACAGAGTTTGGAAGGGTTTCTTCTTTCTTTCTTTCTTTCTTTCTGTCTTTCTTTCTTTCTGTCTTTCTTTCTTTCTTTCTTTCTTTCTTTCTTTCTTTCTTTCTTTCTTCTTTTTTCGAGAGATTTTTGTTACAGGGTGCATGTGCTTGTTGGAGAGAAACAGAGACACAGAAAGCGAGAAATCACTCCCCAGGGGGGATTGCTCCGTGTAATCCCTTCTTCTCCATTCACCCCTCAGGATCTTGGGCACACATGCACATGCACCCAGTGTGAGTTTTAAGCCACTGGGTCTGGGACTCGAACCACAGTCGATCACTGTCTGCTGGACCCTGGGAGGGTTTCTTACTCTTGGATCTTTAGAAACAGTTTGAGGACAGGCCCGCAGGCACTGTGGTGGTTAAGGCACTGGACTCCCACATGGCTGACCACAGTTCGAGTCCTGGACCTGGTGGCTTGCTTTCTCACTTTCCCTCTCTTTCTCTGGTTGAATTAATAATAATAAATAAAAATTAATTCTTTAAAATAATAGCTTTAGGACAATTGTGGTTAGCTCCTCTTTAAAAGCTTCGTTGAGTTCACAAGTGAAGCCTTCGAGACGCGGCTTTTCTTTATTACTGACTCAGCCTCATTGCTTGGTGTCGGTCTAGTCAGACTTTATTTTCCCTGGCTCAATCTGTTGGGTGGTCAGAGAAGTCATGCCACATTTCTGCACAGGAAACCAGGAAACCGTGTCATGCCTTTTCTGACCACCAACTAGGTGGCTTGTGTGTGTCCAGAGATGGGTTCGCCTAAGCTGGGTTTCCTCTTGGCTAGCAAAGCCTCGCTCGTGGTAGTCGCTCGTGACCTCTTGTGGCACCTGTTTGCTGCTGACTCGATTCCGTCTCTCTGTTTCTTTCTCTGCTCTTCCTTAGTCTAGCTACCGCGGTGTCAATTTCGTTTCTCTTCTCAAAACCCAGCTCTCGGTGCTGTTTCTTTTTGTATGACTTTTTATTCTCCATTATTGCTCGAGCTGTGCTCTCAGGTATTTTTTTCCTGCAAGTCCTAATTGCGATGATCTTTTCTATCCTGACTGCTTTCGTTACGTCCCCAAATTTAATCTCTGATTTTCTGTTAGGGTGGGGGTGCTCTCTTTTGAGTCCTCTGGTCCCTTCACGCTGCGGAGATCTGATGAAGAGGGGCTCCCACTTGCTGTCAGGTGGCGAGAAGGTGGAGCCCTCTGGCCAGCAGGGTGTGAGCTGGGAGACCCAGCCGAGGGCCTCTCCCGGAGCTGCCCGCTCTCGTAGGCCCCTGTGTGCGTTAGCTCTGTGCAGTGTGTCCCTGTTCTGTGGGTGGGGGCCTGGGATTCGGAGGCTCAGAGGAGAGTCTGTGGTTTTCTCCTCTGGAAGTGAAACTGCAGAGGGGGGACCCTCCAGAGCGTCCTTGGCTTCGGGCAGTGGGCTCCTCTCCCCTTTGCCAGTAGAACCCACGCAATCTGGCAGTTCCTGCTGGCACCTCCTGTCCCCCGAGTCTAGCCCGATTCTGCTCTCTGGGGGCTGCTCAAACGCAGGGGCCATGGCCCGTGTGCTGGTGGAGGCAGTGGTGGCAGGCCACCTGTCGTGGCCGTGTTCCCTTGACTTACACCTGCTTCTCTGGTTGGGGTGCAGCCAGGGGGCCAAGCCAGGGGTACAGGGGGAGGGCGAGTAGCAGCTTGAGTGTGGTGGGCGTGGGGACCGGCATGTGCTCTGGGGCCAGGAGTGGCCCATTTCTACAAACGTCGTCTTGAACCAGGTATTTGCAGCCTGCGTTAAAATTGTATTCAGACACTCTCCCATCTCACACCCTCCCACTGCCTCCCAGGAAGGCAGTCCCCGTGCCCCGACTCACCGACGTCGCCTTCTTCACGGCGGCTGGTCTCCGGCAGCTGGAGTAGTAGTTGAGGGTGGCGTACTCCATCAGAGCCGCGAAGACGAACAAGAAGCACACGGTCACGAAGAGGTCCATGGCGGTCACGTAGGACACTCGCGGCAGGGACTTCCTGGCTATGGTGCTGAGGGTGGTCATGGTCAGCACCGTGGTGATGCCTGCACGAGGGACAGCCGTGAAAGGACAGGACACAGACACAGACAGCGAGAGAGCACGGCCCCACCCCCACACAGCTGTGTGACACACTTCTTTCTGAGTTGTTTTTGTTTTTATAAATCTTTTTTTAAAGGATTATTTTGTTTTTTATTTATTCATTCATTTATTTCATTTTTTTAATTTTGACCAGAGAGGGATAGAGCCAGAGAGAAGGCGAGAGAGGGAAAGTGAGAGAGCAAGCCTCCAGGTCCAGGACTTGAACCGTGGTCGGCCATGTGGGAGTCCAGTGTCCTTAACCACCACGCCACCTGCCAGCCCCTCTGAGGTTTTAATATCTATATATTGTTACTTTTATTTCTTCCACAAGGGAGGGACAGAGGCACCCACAGCCCGAGTCAGCCCGGGTGACGGCACACACGTGCAAGCCCCGCGTGTGTGCACAGGGAGCCCTGCTCACAGCGCAGGGCCTGCCCGGCGTGTCCAGTTGCACTGTCAAAGCCCCCGTCTACCTGACTCTGTACACAGTTTTCTCAGCAGCATTTCAATCAGCTCTCTCATCAGTCTTCACAATAACATTCAAATACTTGAGCCAAGTGGGTATCTTCCCACTAATTCAAGAATCCTCTTCCTGTTTGCCATTTTGCCTTTTTTTCTTTTGGAGAGGTTTTCGCTATAGGGCGCGTGCGCTCACCAGACAGAGACATAGAGACAGCGAGAAATCACCCCCCAGGGGGGATGGTCACGCCACAATCTCTTCTCCTTCATTCTCCTCTCGGGATCTTGGGCACGCACGCACACGCGCCCGGCATGAGTTTTAAGCCACCGGGTCCGGGACACGAACCGCGGTTGACTACGTGGGAGTCCAGCGACATAGCCAATATGCTAACTGCTGGTTCCCTTGCCTTTTTTCTTTTTTTAATGAAGACGCAGTGTGCATCCCTATGGGTCCCTGCTGCTCCAGTTTTCTCCTGCCCAGACGCCCAGCTCCAGCACCCGCAGCCTAAGCTCCTCCCTTTATGACACGCCGGACGGGCCGAGGTGAGCATCTGCACCGCCCCTGTGCCACCTACGGCCCTTGTTCTGTGTTTGTCCTGCATCGTCAGAGGACGGCCTCTGTTACACGCATGTCTCCCCAAGTAGACGGTGCGACAGGTAAAAGCCAAACGAGGGTGCAGTTTTGCAGAGAAAAGCACGTCTTCGCTTTGCTGACGACTGGTGCATTCCGGCCGCCTGTGCGTCCTCCTGAAATCCATGGGGCCACGGGGCCACTGAGCCACTGCAATGTGTGAGGGTGGGGACCTGCTGCTGTTGTGCTGCCGAAACGTGGAGCTTTGGGGAAGTGGCTGGGCCCGGGGCGGGCTCCCGTGACAGAGTCCTGCTGGGTTGCGGTAGGAAGAGGGATGAACTTGGTGTCTTGTTTCCAGCTCCGGCCACATGCTGTCCATCCGCAAGAAGACCCTCACCGATGCGTCCCCGGGGCCTTGGACCTCCAAGCGGTGAGCTCCAAACGTCAGTGTTTACAAATTGCCCACGCCCCGGTCATTTCGTTATTAGCAACAGAAGGGACGAGAGCACCCAAAACCGAGACTGGCACAATGTATGTATTAGAACACGTTTGCACGGAGTTAAGTAACTGGTCATACTCAATACTGGCTTGACCCTTTCCTATGGCGGAACACCAGAGGTTTAATCAAAGGCGGTGGGGAGATTTAGAAAAGAGACACACCCATCTCCTGGCTGAACTCGGGGAATTCAGGACCTGCCAGTGGCCAGACAGGGTAAGTCGGGCCCCAGAATGATTGGAATCCAGCGTTTAACTCTTACTGCCTCTGGTTCAATGGGAGGACAAGAAATGTTTGCACCCCAGTCCGTGTCAGAGAAGGCCCACACGACAGACACACACACACACACCTGTCTCAGCCCTCCCTGCACCTGGTTCTGCAGGGCTGCCGGAGAGGCTAGGAGCTTGACCGGGCGGAACGGCCCTGACCCAGGCGTCTGCGCCTCAGCCTGCTCCGAGCCTCCCAGAGCTGACCCCCTAGGACTCAGTGCCTTAGTTCAGTGCAGTGAGACAGGGTGGCAGGCTCCCCAAGTCCTGTGTGGATAGACTGTGGTCCTCCATGTAAAAATGCTTAGAAACTGAGAACAAAATCTAAGGTGTGGTTTTACGGAAAATGTTTTCCTAATATCTAATTTTGAAAAGATCTAGTGAGCACATGGTGTCTCCCAAGTTCACAGTTCCAGTGTCTGTTTCTAAGAGGTGTTCGTGTCTGCCGTCTCCAGGTGTTTTCTTCGTCAGTCCTCACTCCGGGCCTTCCTGCCGGGCCCCGGTCTTGACCTCGTTATTGCTATGTTTCTCGTTGGTCTCCACTAGCTTTTTTTCTTTTTAAAAAGAATCATTTTATTTAAATTTATGTATTTATTTATTTAAATGTGACCAGAGAGGGACAGAGTAAGAGAGAGAGAAAGGGAAAGTGAGAAAGCCAGCCGCCAGGTCCGGGACCCGAACTGCACTGGCCACGTGGGAGTCCAGCACCTTAACCACCATGCCCCCTGCTGGCCCCTCTACTAGTTCCTTAATTTTACTTTGTGTTATTTCATATAGTCTACCAGTTTGTTTTTCTTACTGTTGATATGATATCTTTTTAAAAATCCATTTTCCAAGTCACCCCGCTGCGTCCTCGTATTTAACCTGTGCTCTCTTTCGTCAGTATAGGCTAGGGCCTGACTTCCTCCCCCACTCTGACAGTTTCTCCTTTGAACTGAGAGTACATGGTGGGCCTTCCCCATGTGAGGCAAGTTTTAATGGTAAGCCGCATGACTGCCGTCTCGGTGTAATGCACACTGCAGTTTTTCTTTTCTCACAGTAGGCTTTTTTTGTTTGTTCACTGGTTTCCAACCTTTTCATTGGCCCCGAATAATTCTAAGTATTTCAGTCTTTATTTGAAGTCGCCTCATAGTAACACGTGTCCACACAGCCCCCACTCCTTGCTATTTGCAGCCTGCATTTGATCTCTCCCCATGTTGGAAACCACATCTTGTTTTGTTTTTTTTTTTGGGGAGGTTTTCGCTATAGGGAGCGTATGCTCGCCAGATAGAGAGAGACAGAGACAGAAAGCGAGAAATCACTCCCCAGGGGGGATGGTCACGCCGCAATCCCTTCTCCTCCATTCTCCTCTCGGGATCTTGAGCACGCACACACACGCGCCCGGTGTGAGTTTTAAGCCACTGGGTCCGGGACGCGAATCACGGTCGACTACGTGGGAGTCCAGCGACATAGCCATTACGCTAACTGCTGGTTCCCGGAAACCACATCTTAGTGTATTCCTATTTTGACTATACTTGGGACAGAAATAGAAAGCAAGTTTTAATATTTGCCATCTCTGGTGTGCTTTTCAGCCTTCTTGCAGATCCAGTTTTCTGTGTCTCAGCTGCATTAGCCTAAACGGCTGCCATACTTTTATTGTGGTTCCAGATCTTTTGTGACAATTTGCATAGCTTCTTATCCGAAATTGTCTGTTCCGACAAGATTATGGAAGCCTGCTTCCTCTGGAGGGGGACTTTTGGATGGACAGGTTTTCTCTTTTAGTCTCGATATTTTAAAGAGTCATTTATTCTCCCCTGGCTGCTCTCGTATATGCAATGTGAGCCACAAGTCCTGTGATTGTCCTGCCACATATAATGAGACCTTATTTAACTGCTCTCAAGACTTCTCTTATTTTTAGTTTTCAACATGTGAACTCTGATGGTTTTCTTTTCCTGTTTGAATTTGTAAGCTGGTGTTTTTCACCCAGTTTGAAAATTTAATTTTATTTCCTAACAAACATTTGGCCTCATTCTTTTCCTCTTGTCATCCTCGAACCTCAGTTATGGTCACGTTGTCCGTATTTTCAACATACCACAGAAGGCTGAGACCGTTCATTAAGAACATCTGGCCCCTGTGTACGTCCGAGGAAATGAATCTGATGGCTTTCAGGTTTACATAATATTTTTTGCCATCTTCAGTCTAAGCCCATTTAGTCACTGTTTGCAATTACTATATCACATTTGATTCTAGAGTTTTTTTAATATACTTTTTACTATATCACATTTGATTCTAGAGTTTTTTAATATACTTTCCTCTGTTGAGACACCCTGTGTATTCAGTAGGGCAGTACTTTCCTGGAAGGCCTTAAATACTGTTATAATAGCTGTTGGAAAGCCCGTGTCTCCTGATCAGCGTTAGGGCTGTATTTTATAGTAACAGTTTCTTCCCTTGAAGATGGGTCGCACGGTCAAGCTTCCTAGAATGTCTGATGCTTGTTTCTATTGGGTACTTGCTGTTGTGGGTACACTGGAAGGAGCCTGGGCTACCCCGTCTTTCTAAAAAGCAGATAGAGTGCTGAGTGTCCTCTTGGACAATGCGCGTGGCTCTCCCTGATGCCGCTGTCCTCGGCTCAAGCTTTACTAGAGATGTCTTTTCTAGGCACGGCCTTCCTGGCATCCCAGTTAAATGTCGTAATGAAGTTTCGCCCCACCTCTGGGCTGCATCGTGCAGCCCTGTGTGCTAGGCCGTCTCTGGGCTCATGCTCTAGTTCTGGAGGGCTTTCGTAGACGCAGGTTGTGCACACACACCTACACGTTGTATTGCTTTGAATGTCATCTTGACATCTTGTGTACGATGACACCTAACCTTGTAACTGTGAGGTCGCAACCTCAAGAGTAGTAGCTAAATTTAGTTCAATATCTTTGCGTGATGGTTACCGAGTGTGTTGTGTGTTCTCTGTAAGCATGCACGGCCACTGTGCAAATGGGTGTTAGGGGCTATTGACCTTGCGCAGAGAGTACTTTGTGGCTGAACAAGGAAAACATGATGCAAATGTTGGATTGTCTGAAAAGCCATGAGCACTTTTACAGAGGAAGCACGGAAAAGTGACCTACTCAATGACCCAATACGGCAGACTTTGCAAGGGTTTAACACTGGGGTGGCTCTAGTTTTAGGGGGTGTCGGGGGAGGAGGAAGAGACACCTACATTTAGTCCAATAGCCCTATATATTACCTATTTTCAAAAATAAGAACATTCAAAGTTAGGCAAAATTCCTCTCCTAAGGAAAACTGATAGAAATATGCTGCATACTTCGAAAACTACGGAAAGACTGCAGTGACCAGAAAAAAAATACCACGACAAGACCGGCCTTAGCACATGGGCCACAGGTAAAGCATGACCGCGTGCTCGTGTGCTGCTATGTCGCTACACTGATGCACAGCCTCTTTTACTGAGAGATTGTTTGACCGAGGACGTCTTTGTCTCACGAGCGTATGGCAGGTTCTACTTCTGCACCTCGGTGGGCAGACCGAGCTGGCAGGTTCCCGTCTGCGCCCACGTTTCCATGACGGTCCCAGCCTTGGAGTATCACGTCGAGGACACTGTTGGTTCCTTGTGAATCTCTAACTCTGTCTTAATTTAACCAGCGTCAGAACAATTGAACACGGCTACTTAAAAAAACTCTAAGCGTGGCTCGAGTAACCCTCAAATGATATCATTCACTTTTAAACTATGTTTTCTTTATCAAAGCTATTTTTCCAAACAAATGCTTCTATATTAAAATGATACGAAACGGTAGGAGATTAGACTCACCCAGTGCTGTTCTCGCTGGTGTAGCATCTTTTTTGATCCAGAATGACACCCAGGATAAAACCACAGTCAGTATACAGGGAATGTACGTCTGGATCGTGAAGTACCCCATCCTTCTACTCAATTCAAAGTATATAGTCATGACAACATAATCACCTGGAACGAGACGTTGTCCAAATTGAGGCAACTTTCATGGGCCAGCAACTCAGAGAAAGAACTGTTAAAAAGTTTTGCTATAAGGCACATGCATTCACCAGGGGGAGGCGGTGAGGGTGGTGAGAAATGACCCCCAGGGGGATAGCCATTCTGCAGTCTCTTGTACTCCATACCCCTCTTGGGATTTTGAGCATGTATGAGCCTGGCATGTTCTTCAAGCCACTAGGTCTGGAGCTCGAACCATGCAGTTGGCCATATGCAGTCCAGCTGCCTTAATCACGCCACTGGTTGGCTCCAATAATTTATTTTGGCTAAATGAATGACTTGGATAAAACTGTTTAACTACAATAAAATTAAGTAAGGAAATGGATAAAAATGCTGGTGAATGCAGCATTTGAGGAAATAATAGCTGTTAATTTTTCAAAATTGTGACAGATACCAAACTACAAATCCCAAATGCTCAGACATCAAGCTGGATAAAAATACTGAATAAAACCAAGAAGGTATTATGTAGGCATGCCATAGTCAAACTGCTGAACATCAGAAACAAAAGGAAAACAACCAGAAAAAATAAGAGATGCATTTTTTGCCGAGATGCAAGAATGAGATTTACAGCAGACTTCTCATCAGAAATTATGTGAGAACAGAGAACATGGAATTAGGTCTTTAAATGCTTAAACAACAAACTCCAAAAAACAATAACAGAAACCCCAAGACTATCATGCTAGAATAAAAGCCAGTGAAAATAATCTTTTAAAACTGAAAAAGAGAAAAAATTCTCAGATAAACAAAACTTTCTCAGATAAACCAAAACGGAGCAAGCTCGTTGGCAGCAGACCTACTTAGCAAGGAATACAAGGTTCTTTAGATGTAAGGAATACATTACTGTTGGGAAAGCCGTGACATCGTTCTCTATGCAAAAACGCACCATGCTTTTCCTGACAACCCAGTACCTCCAGAAATGTATTCTGGCTCTCCATTTCTTTGCATCCTTCCAAAGAAATGAAGAAGCATGTAAGGATCTATTCTCTAACTTTACTAACTCTAAAATACAACGGTTTGAAGTAAAACGTATGAGTCTACATTTGATTTATAGCATAAAAACGTGAAATGCACAACAGCAATTGTACGAGAGAATTTTCCAGAAATAAGAGTTGAAAGAATTGATCTCTGGAAGACCCCAAACACGAAATGTTACAGGAACTCTCAGGCAGGAAAAGCGATGACACTGAATGGGAGCATAGACCTAACAAATAACTACCTGTCTAATTACATAGCTTGTTTTTTCTTAGTATTTAAAATTTTTTTAGAATTATTTTAAAATTAATTATTATTTTCACACGAGTTTTGCCAGAGAAAGAGAGAAAGCCGCCAGGTCTGGGACTCGAACTCTGGTGGGCCATGTGGGAGTTCCAGCACCTTAACCATCGTGCTATCCGCTGGCCCCAGAATTTAAATATTTTAAAGAAAATATTAATAATGTAGCATATGGTATATAATGTTCAAGGGACCTAAAAAATTTCATGGAAAAGTGGAATTAAAGTATGAGTTTATTTTGGTGCAAAAATTGGAAATTCATGCAGGTTTTTTCCATAATATGGAAAAAGTTCATTTTCATGAGCTTTTAGGATACCCCTTATATATAAAAGTAAAATGCATTATAGCAACTGCAGTGTTTGAGACCGGAGAAACAAATACGGACTTCTAAAATTTTTATACCTTCATTTAGGTAGGTATAAACATTTAGGTAGGCAAAACTGTCATTGAAAAGCAGCTGTAGTAAGTTCCAGTGAATTGTCACGCGAACTACTAAACAGCAAGTCAAATAATTCTAGCTACCAGGCCAGCTATGGAGATAAATGGAGTCATAAAATGTGTTTCATTAATAAAAAAGGCAGGAGAGGTAGAAAAAAGTGAGCAAACCTATATTGGACAGTTAGGAGAAAAACACTGGCCAGGTGATAGGCTTAAAGCTCGTGTCAATAATCTCGTCAAACGTCAACCTGTAAAGATCCCAAGTAAGGCCGGGTTTCCCCGAGTAAGCGCTGCCTAGGCTGCCTGCAAGAACAGGGCTCTTTAAGGACCATAGCAGGTTAAAAATACACGGCAGGGAAGTTACGCCGTGCCGGTACTAACAGGAAAGCACAGGCAGCTCTGGGAACGTCAAGACGGACTTCAGGACCGAGACGGGGCAGACGAACGGATGACCATGGGGGACTAGAGCAAGCAGGTGGCAGTGAAAATACTGCTAGGGAAGAAAGGGACATGATGGCAACGCTCAAACAGCCACTTCCCAAAGAGGTCTATGAAAGCAGGCACACAGACGAACTTCCTTGATTTGTATCTATCCTCGACAGCAGTTTTTAAATTCAGTAATCTCTTCCATGAGGGAGACAGAGAGAGAGAGAGAGACAGAGAGAGAGAGAGAACGAGACGGGTACTCCAGCAGGATCTGCAGCCATGACTCCTCCCCAGCCTCAGCCAGCCCCGGCCATGGGCGTGGCGCCAGCTGGTCTGCACGGGACCTCCCCTTGGTCCGGCATCGCTGCCATGTGACCAGCTGGGCCGTGTCTGTGACTGCGTCTGGCTAGCGTCCTTGTGCCCTCTAAGACCGCAGACGTACAAGAGCCGCGCTTACCCTTCCCTCCCCGTTTCATTACCAGCACCTAGAAAGAGTACTGGGACCAGCAGATGGCACAATGGTTACGCTGCTGGACTCTCAGACAGTCGACTGTGGTTCAAGTCCCAGACCCTGCTTGAAACTTGAAACTCACACCAGGCGCATATGCGTGTGTGCAAGATCCCAAGAGGAGGTGGAGGAGAAGGGACTGCGGCATGGCCATCCGCCCGGGGGCGGGGGGTGGTGGTGGGGATTTCTCACTTGCTGTCTCTCTGGCGAGCACACATGCCCTATAGAAAAAAACTTTCTAGGAAAAAGAAAAAAGAAAGAGGTTATTTCTACTGATAATTATTGTGTGAGCCAATACATAAATAAAAACCTGGGTTTCTACTTTTGACTCGAGTCAAGAGGGGGCGCAGGGAAGGGAGCCCCTCTGGGCCCTGCGTCTTTCCTCTGCCGGCCGCCCATCTGAGTAGCTTCCTGCTTGCCGACGTCCTCACGGACTCCAGTGCAGTAATGTTGCTCTCTGCGTCTGTCAGTGTGGCCCGTGTATTTACTCACTTCTCATCAAAACTTCCATCTCAGAGAGAAGCAGAATGCACACTACTGCACAGCCACAGGGCCTGGAGTCAGACTGGGTGGCTCGCCTCGGTTCACAGTACTTTGCTCTAGGGCATTTAAAAATATTTTGCCAAAGAGAGACGGGGACACACTTGCAGGGATGGCCGTGCCGCAATCCCTTCTCCCCCAGTCTCACTTGGAATTTGGGGTGCACACGCACACACGCCCAGTGTGCTTTCAGGCTGCCAGGTCCAGGGCTCAGACCTGCAGTTAGCCACGTGGGACCCAGCTACTGTCACCATCACGCGCCAGCTGGCTCAGGGGCTGACTCTGTGCCCTCTTGTCCTCCTCTGTGACTTGGGGGACTCGTAGTCTCTCTCTGTGGCTATTGGGAGGATGAAATAATGAGTGTAAATCCTTCAGACCTCAACCTCAGAACTCAAGCGTGGGAAGCTGCCAGCTTTGTTTTAAAAGCCGCCGATGCCGTAGACACTGCGTGTCATGCTCAGCGTTTTTCAAAGTGAAGGCAATGAGGTTTGTGATTTGTATCTAATTTCTTCAATAAGGGTTAGGAGCTTAATTGACGTTAATGTTCATGGCTTATCACACATTCTCAGGGCCACACCGCTGCTAACTTGGAAAGAAACATTTCTATTACAACAACTGCTTCCTTTTAAGAGGGAGTTAGCTTTGGAAGACAAGCGCGGGCCTAACCCTCAGATAAGCGTTGAGCATGTCTTCGTAATGGCTGTGTCTCTCCCGAGTGCCTGCGTGGGTTGTTCTCTGCGATCCGTCTCCAGCGCCGGTGCTGCGGAGCCGGTAATGGGAGAGGTGAATGGACAAGTCAGCAGCAGGGAGCCTGGGAGTCCCAGGGGAGTTTCCTACCTCAGCTCAAGTAATGCTTCGAATGCGGACAAAGGCCACTTCATCAAATCCGGGTTTTCAATACCCTGGAGTTAATCTTACATCTTTGTATCAAATTGGATCCTGGAAATGCTAAGAATTGCTTCAATGTAATTATGAAGATGCAGAGAAACACATCTCAGCAGGCAGAAAGCACTGTCCTGGCGTCCTCGGAGCTGGCCAGTATACCTGGGGAGAGAGTGATGGGCAGAGGTCTGTCCCCCAAGTCGTGGTGAACGGCTAGATTGAGCCCATCATTTCCCCAAAGGTCATTCTGCTTTCTTCACAGACGGAGCAGGGGACGGTCACGTGGACTATCACAAAACCCGGCCAGCTGCTCCTCCTCTGGCATGCACGCGCTTCAGGTCAGCGGGAGGTGGGAGTCGAAGATGACCCACATCTAGCTGGCAAATGGAGTTAGGGTCCGGGGAGGCACAGAATGGCCAAAGAAATGAAGGCGGAAACATAACGCAAGAGAAACAGGAACAGATGTTCTCAAGGACCAGGTCTTACAATCTGCAAGAATGTAGCAGCTTAGAGCGCTCCGCTCCGGGATGCAGACGCAGGTCTAGCTACTGAACGCAGCCGCTCGGGGGCTCCTGACAAAGTGAGCGGGGGACCAGGGATCGCTCCTCTCCTGGTGCGTTTCCAGAAGAACCGAACAATTCTTCAAGCCAGAGCTCGTCCACAGGCGCTCATAGCAGCGTCCTGGACAGTGGCTCCACGTTTCCACCGACAGACGGATGCGGGGGGTGTTTCATTCGTGGGCCGCTCTTCGTCACGCATGTAAACGACGTACTCTCACACGCGGCAACACGCTCAGCCCTACGAACACCACGGTCCGTGAAAGAGCCAGCCACAGAAGGCCACAGACTGCGTGACTGCCCCGGGGACATCCCCAGCGCAGGCAGGTAGA